TGCATAACCAATTCTTTGAGCTCCCAGAGACATTTACACAGGAAACGATCCCAGTCTCAAGAGGCAACATCCCTACTCAATGAGACATTGAAAGGTGGGAATATCTGAAAGAAATCAGTATCCCAGAATTGAACGCTGTTTAAATTTTGATCGGGACTAATGCACCAAAATGAATGGAACCCTGGTAAATAATCAACAGCCAAGATGATGGACCTTATGCCGTGAGGACCCTATTGGGGTGGGTTGTCAACGGTCCTTTGAGGGGCAATAGTGGTTGTCAGAAAAGCTGCTCGACTATATATATATGCCAATAGGATATTCGTTTGTCAGACTGGAAGAGCTGTTGGTCTCCTAGTATAATCAGGATTTCAATGAAAAGTCACTGGAGGAGAAGCAGGAGATGTCAATGGAGGATCTGAGGTTAATGGAGATCTTGGGGAAGTCAACGTGTATTTCCTACATACACATCGACTTCCCCAAGATCTCCATTAACCTCAGGTCCTCCATTGAGGAGGTCATTACTGCATGGACTTACCCTTCAAAGTGGATGACTTTCTAAAATCTTTGCCCACAGAGGAAGAAGCAATGCAGTTGGTAATGGACCTTGCTGACATATGCTCAAAGGGAGGATTTCAGCTGTTAAAATGGACAAGCAATAGTCAGGCTGTATTGTCCTCTATTCCAGAAGCAAAGCGGTCCAAAACAACCAGGCAGCTGCACTTTGAACAAGACAACCTGCCTGTAGAGATGGCTCTTGGATTGAATTTGTGCCCAACGTGACACTTTCACATTCAAGTAAAGTGAAGAAACGACCACATAAGACGTGGTCGATGGGACCGGCCAGTCAGTAACGGCACTAACCTTGGCACCATCCATCTGGATGTTCCCTGGAGACACGAGGAAGCCCAGGAAGAGGACGGAGCATTGGTGGAACTCACACTTCTCCGCCTTGACAAACAGCAGATTCTCCAGCAGCCGCTGCAGAACCGTGCTGCTGATGTTCCTTCTCACTCTTGGAAAAAAATCAAGATGTCATCCAGGTAAACAAACACAAATATATTCAACATGTCCCTTAGAACATCATTGACTAGGGCCTGAAACACAGCTGGGGCGTTGGTGAGACCAAACGGCATAACCCGGTACTCATAGTGGCCACTGGGAGTATTGAAAGCTGTCTTCCACTCGTCTCCCTCCCTGATTCTGACAAGGTGATAAGCATTTCTCAGATCGAGCTTAGAAAAAATGGAGGCTCCCTGCAATAGCTCAAAAGCAGAGGAAATTAGTGGGAGGGGGTATCTGTTCTTAACTGTGATGTCGTTGAGGCCACAGTAGTCGATGCAGGGACGTAGTGTCTTGTCCTTCTTACCCACAAAGAAAAAGCCAGCTCCTGCTGGAGACGAGGAGGGGCGAAAGAGTCTGGGGAGTTCTTGATGTACTGGCTCATCGCCTCCCTCTCCGGGGCAGATAGTGAGTAGAGGCGTCCCTTGGTAGGGGAGGTCCCGGCGAGGAGGTCGATGGCGCAGTCGTTGGGGCGGTGAGGGGGTAGGGAGGTGGCACGGGTCTTGTTGAACGCCTCCCTGAGGTCCAGGTATATGGGAGGAACCCCAGAGATGTCGGTGGTATCTGCAAATGAGCCAGGGGACTTGGAAGACACATTAGGGGATCGTGGTGCGAGTCGGGAGGAGTCACCGGGACCACTGGGGCCGGTGGACCTGGCGGTGCCGTCCCCGCCGGCGGCTGAGGGTTGAGACTGGCGAGCACCTGCTGCGTCTGGAGGCTGAGATCCCACAGCTGGTCAGTCATGGCGGTTTGAACCGCATTCTGGCGATCGTGAAGCTCCTGGACTCCGGTGACCAAACTGGAGAGCAATTGTTCGTGGTCGTACAGTCTCTTTCCTTGTGCTTGAAGAGCGAAACGCACGGCGCTGTCCTCTGCTGAGTCCGTCATGGTCAGATCGTTCTGTCAAGCCGAGGGGCAGATCCGGGACTCAATCGCAGACACAGACACAAGAGACGATGTGAAGTTTAAACTTAGGGATCTTTACTGGAAAAAAGGTCAAAAACAAACTTAAAGCGACTCCAACGGAGCGGGCAAAAATATCCAAAATAACAAAAGAAAGGCAAAGGTACAAATCAGGAGTAAACTCTGGAGCACCGAGCAAACACGAGGGAGACACAATAAAGGAACAGACAGGGAACGAACAAGGACGATCTGGCAACCAGAACAGGGAAAGGGAAAGCAGGGAAGTATATATGTGTGGGGTGATGAGGAGATTGAAGGCAGCTGGGTGGACTGGGCAGGTGAGTAGGATGAGTGTAATCAGGGGAAACAGACACACACAGAGACATGAGGAAGCTAACGGGATGTTACACAAACAGTATTTTACTTACCAGTTAAATTGCTTAGGTCTGGCAGGGGGCTGGAAAACCAAACAATCACATTACACACTTACTATTGTCCATTATGTCATAAACTGTAACCTTAAGCTGGTATGTATTGTATATTACCACAGTTAATAAGAATGACTTGCACCTGAAATCACCTGGAAGAATAAAATTTCAGTTATATCCTAAGGCCTCAGCATGCTTCAAACAAAGCTTGTAGAATTGACGATCTGACAGACATGGCCACTTTATGCAGTGATGTCCAGGTGTGTGGAGGTGGAGAAGATAAGCTGGGTTTGTGCCTCTCAAGTTCTCTTTCTTCTCTTGTGCTTTTCTCTACGACAGCAGGCTGTTGAGAGCATCAAAACTTACCAAAAGCTTGTTGATATCTCATTGCATTAAGAATATATGGACCAATGAACTTCTAGGGGCGTGGTCTTCTATAGCAATATATATAACATGTGGCCTAGCATCACGTCATTTGTAGCATATGTCCACATTGTGTCCTGTAACATACCCTCAAATTTAATTCCATATCACCACTAGGCGGCGATACAGTAATACGCCCATTTTTAGCATTTTTCGGCATTTTTCATAGTTTTCAGGCATTGTACTTTAACCAACACCTCCCACAGAATTTATGCGATCAACTTCAAATTTCGTCAGGATGATCTAAAGACATTACTGATGAAAAGTTGATAAAATGGTCTACTGCCATCGAACGATCTTTGTTTTATGTGGCGCCCTATTCACGCACTTCTCGCGCCATGAAAGAGGACGTTGTTGTAACTCCTAGGTACTTTAGTCAATCTGCCCCAAATTTCTTATGCATGATGCTGGTCCAGGCCTGAGCACATTTCCATGCTAACATTTTCACAAAGTCATAGCGCCACCTACTGGCAAAAGGAAATGTCAAGTTTTATACTTTGATGTACTCCTCCTAGGAAACTGCCCAGATCAGTCTCCAATTTGGTAAGGTAAGCTTTAAGACATTGATGATGCTTTAAAAAAACGTCTCCTGGGACCTTGCTCTAAAATTAACAGGAAGTCGGCCATTTTGATTGTGTGAATTTTTCCTTGATTTCTAGTCGCTATACTTTAACGAACTCCTAGGGACTTTGTCAGATCCACTTCAAATGTGGTCAGTACAATCTAAAGACCTTTGTAATTAAAAGTTGCTAAAAGCTTTACGTTTGATGGAATGGCGTAGCTGCGGCGTGGCGGCCATTTTACGTGATTCGCCATGACAACCTGCCCACAAACCCTCTTAATAAGTTCAGTGTTTGGGCCACTGTATTTATAGAATCCTGCTTACGGCCATGGTTATCCGTAGGTGGCGCTATGACTGTGAGTTAATATTGGCATGCAGAAGTCCTAAAGTCATGACAGTCATCAAGCATGTCAACTTTAGGACAGTTTTGACAAAGTACAGTTGAGTTACAACAGCTTGATGGATGATGGCGAACCATGTAAAATGGTCGCCACACAACGTCCATGTTGTTCGATGAAACCTCAAACTTTCAGTAACTTTTAATCACAAAGGTCTTAAGATTGTTCTGACCAACTTCTAAGTTGATCTGATTAATTCCCAAGGAGGAGTTTGTTAAAGTACCTGGAAATGGCAAAAACGACACTAGAAATTCATAAAAAATTCAAAATGGCTGACTTCTGGTTGGGTTTAGAGCATAGCCCCAAGAGACTTTTCTGAAGTCCAAATGTTATATATTTTGACCGTCGGACAATGCGTCCCGGAGTTAAACGTATTTTTCCTGCTGTACTCTGTGATGCTGGAAATTATGTAGCAAATATTCCACCAGTTCCTGTATCCACTATGTGGCCTTAGATAACACGCGAAAAAGATGCATCATGTTGCTCTCTATCAAGTGCACACCACATCATGTAAATGTCATGTAAATCGGATTCCGTTTGTCACATAAAGCTGACTTCCTGTTGCCAGTAGGTGGCACTACGACTTTGATTGAACATTGGCTTATAGACATCCTCACGCCATGACTGTTATCAAGTATGGTAAGTGTGGGACAGATTTGAGCAAGTCCAGTGGAGTTACATCAGCTTGTTGTTGCAACCCCAGAAAAAGACTTCTCTGATCTAAATATGTGCAAACTAAGATGTTTGGTGAGCAGAAATTGGATAAAAAAGGTTTCCAAATCCCGCTTGTACGTGGAGTTTTCATTAATAGTAAATTAATTCATTAATTGTTTTTGTTCATTTTGGAGCCAGGTCGTCAAATAAAGTAATTTCGTACAAAGTGAAGTTTGTTGAATAAAATCAAACTGCACCCAGCCTAATTCATACAGTATGATAGATTATTCTACATTTGCTCACCTTTTGGCTTAAACTTAAACTATACATTCTCCTATTTTTCCTCGACTCTTCCAGCTTTGAGTCACTCAGCAGTGATTGTCAGAGCTACCTGCACAAACAAACAGTTGGTTTTGAGACCTGCATTTACTTTGATATTCTGTTATGTTACTAACACTGAAGCGCATTCACACACATTCAGTTCTGAATGTGTTCTGACCAGTAGTTGAAGGGATATCTTGCGCTGTACCAGTATCAGACTTGCCTGACAGCAGTTTTCTCCTCTGTTTGCAGGTCATGAGCATCCTCGGCAACCCCAGCGGTGTATCCTCACAGCCACAACACGACTTCTCCATCTCACCACTCCACAGTGCCTTGGACTCCTCTCCATCCAACACCATCTCAGCCAGCTGCAGCCAGCGTTCAGCTGAGGCCTCCATTAAGACTGTGGACAGCCTTTCATCATCCCAGTCCTACTGCCCCCCCACATACAGCACCACTAGCTACAGCATGGACCCAGCTGTGGCTGCTGCCGGCTACCAGTACAGTCAGTATGGCCAGAGTGAGTCCCGCGAGTTCAGAATAAACAAACAACAGCAACATTTTGAAAATTTTCAAGACTCTCTATTGCTAACTGATAGAGCACAATTATCCCATTTAGTGAGAGACTAGTGGCTTGAATGCTGTAGTGGTTTAATTGACTTTCTGAACTGAATTTATTCACACAGAGTAGGTTCTTCCTTATCCTACTTTATACCAGCAAGTGCATCCCACATGCGCTTCGGCACACAAATACCAAATGCAGGTCCTCGGTGCAATGGGCACGACACACCTGACTAGCATGCTGCCTGCGCTCTGAGCCAGATTTACTGCAGCTTTTGATGCCGTTTTTAAGGTGTAGATGTAACGCATTCTGTCCCATGCACGTTTGCTAATTTATCAACCAGATGCATCAGGATGGAGTCACAGTTTGTGTGTCATTTGGGACAGAGCGGCTTTCTCCTCATTGCATATGTTTTACAAATGTTCTGAAGATCAGGCAGGGCTTCCACCAGTGTATTGTAAGCCTGCCGGCCTGCCTCAGAACCACGGAATTATTTATAAGATGTTTTTTTTAACCACAGTTGGAAAGTTGGGTGGATCGGTTGGAAACTTAGATATAATCACTCAAAAATGACACTTGGCCGCCTGCCCTGTCAAAAGATACTCTCCACCGGGTCTCTTCTTATTCTTCTGGCGGAAACCCTTGGTCAGAGTATGGCCCTTAGCATTTTCTTGGTAAATATGGCGTCAGTGTCAAGCTCTTTTGGAATCGCACCATGAGAACTGCTACTCTGCTAAACAGCGAGGCTTAATAGTTAAGAGCCAGTATTACCTTGTTGCCCAAAACATACCATTCAGGTATTCCTCCAGGTACAGGAATACAACCTTCACAGAAAAGATTTAAGCATTATTGCATTTGAAACTTGTGTAACTTGAAATTCTAAGAAAAAACTGTTTTTATTTAAAGTCAGTCTTATTGACATAGTTTTGGCAAATATACCTGTTAGCATCATGGATATATTGTTGCATGTACCAAGATTCACTCCTATGAAACTTGCTCATTGGGCACAAACATCAAAAATGTTTTTCAGGCTCCCCCAGACTTGCACATTTTGGGCCCATAGATCATTCAGTCCTTCTCTAGCCAAGCCTGTTGTGAGCATGCAGGTTAAGGTCTTCTTCTGGCTTATAGCTGGCTGACATCCTACTGACTCCCCGCACACATTAATGGTAGAAAAAAAAACTTGATTTTATTGGACTGTTGGTGCCAAAAATGTATTCTCTTTCTTACAATTGTGTATGAGTCTGTTTGGGACAGTGTGTGTGACATTACCTGCAATTCCAACTGAGGCAACTGTAGACCAAAATCAAGTCGAAGACCAGGGCTGTTCCTGGTCCTCTACACACCAGCATAATTCCAGAGATTATTCACATGGGCCCTTTGCTAAAACAGATGGGCCCAATTGTCGAAACCTGTGTCCAGGAGATAAACACGATTCCCTTTGGGATGAGATAAACAATTCATGTGTGCTGCCTACAGCACCATAACGAGGTGAAATGCAAAGAAGCAGGAAATTACTGGATGAAGCTATCTTTTGTGACTTAAGCATTGGCATCTGCAGCCATCTTATTTGGAAGTAAGAACGAGGGCCAGTGTACCCACATTGTTATAAACTGTGATGTTACCCTCGCTTTTAATTTCCAAATATATAAAATGGTAAATGCATTATTCTAGTTTGTTACAACTTTAATAGGGATTGGTTACAGGAATATAACATTAACTGCACTGAACAAAAATCATGCATTGCAGATTCACCCAATAAAAATATTATTTGTGCTATATTTTCCCATTTTACCACATCCCTTCTCTGTTTCGCTACATGAAGAGCACATGACTCTGCATTACCACTGAATGTTGTTATTAGGGATGTACCCAAATCCAAATATGTTATTCGGGACAGCACAAATAATATAATGGAAACAGATATTTCTTCTAAAAAGAGTTGCTCGGTGACAGCTGAACATTCTCAGCTGGACCTGGTCAACCTATACATTGAAAATGAAAATACTTTTAGCTGTATTTGTATATGTATGCCTTGAAAAATTGCATTGCCATGGAATATTAGGTTAGAAACACAACATTTTTCCAATTTAACGTGACTTCCTGTCCAGAGTAATACAGAGACAGAGTTGGTGAAACAGATCATTTAGTTGTTTGAACAGATACAGAGACATCATTTAGTTGGTGGAACAGATACCGAGTGTAACGGGTGTGGTAAGGACCCAGAAGCAGTACGACAGATACACTGAATAGTTGGAATCGAAGCTTTATTCTCAACTGAACACACAACAGGTAACAATCTAGGATATGCACAGGTGTAGAATCCTACACGGTAAGCCGTCAAGGGAGAAGGCAGACAGAACTCCGAGGAAACAGAGGCAGGACCTCGTTGTAGGGGACAGAAGGCTGAGTGGTTTACCGGGGCAGAGGCAAGACGGAGAAGTCCAAACAGGCAGGGTCGGTAATGGGAAATCCGTTGGCGGGTAAACGCTGCAAGGTCTGGCATGAATGCTGAGAACAATCTGGCAGTGAGTGTGTGTGAGACTGGGGTCTAAATACACTGCTCAAAAAAATAAAGGGAACACTTAAGCAACACATCCTAGATCTGAATGAATGAAATAGTCTTATTAAATACTTTGTTCTTTACACAGTTGAATGTGCTGACAACAAAATCACACAAAAATTATCATTCATTCATTCATTCATTATCCAAACCGCTTATCCTGTTCAGGGGCGCTGGAGCTGATCCCAGCTGACATTGGGCGAAGGCAGGGTACACCCTGGACAGGTCGCCAGTTCATCGCAGGGCACATGTAGAGACAGACAAACATTCACGCTCACATTCACACCTACAGGCAATTTCGAGTCTCCAAATAACCTGAGCTGCATGTCTTTGGACTGTGGCAGGAAGCCGGAGAACCCGGAGGGAACCCACGCTGCAACGGGGAGAACATGCAAACTCCACACAGAAGGACCACCCGGGATCGGGGATCGAACCCTCTTGCTGTGAGGTGATAGTGCTAGCCACTACACCACCGTACAAAAATTATCAATGAAAATGAAATTTATTAACCCATGGAGGTCTGGATTTGGAGTCACACTCAAAATTGAAGTGGAAAAACAAACTACAGGCTGATCCAACTTTGATGTAATGTCCTTAAAACAAGTCCAAATGAGGCTCAGTAGTGTGTGTGGCCTCCACGTGCCTGTATGACCTCCCTACAATGCCTGGGCATGCTCCTGATGAGGTGGCGGATGGTCTCCTGAGGGATCTCCTCCCAGACTTGGACTAAAGCATCCGCCAACTCCTGGACAGTCTGTGGTGCAACGTAGCGTTGGTGGATGGAGCGAGACATGATGTCCCAGATGTGCTTAATTGGATTCAGGTCTGGGGAACGGGCGGGCCAGTCCATAGCATCAATGCCTTCGTATTGCAGGAACTGGTGACACACTCCAGCCACATGAGGTCTAGCATTGTCTTGCATTAGGAGGAACCCAGGGCCAACCGCACCAACATATGGTCTCACAAGGGGTCTGAGGATCTCATCTCGGTACCTAATGGCAGTCAGGCTACCTTTGGCGAGCACATGGAGGGCTGTGCGGCCCTCCAAAGAAATGCCACCCCACACCATTACTGACCCACCGCCAAACCGGTCATGCTGGAGGATGTTGCGGGCAGCAGAACGTTCTCCAGACTCTGTCACGTCTGTCACATGTGCTCAGTGTGAACCTGCTTTCATCTGTGAAGAGCACAGGGCGCCAGTGGCGAAGTTGCCAATCTTGGTGTTCTCTGGCAAATGCCAAACGTCCTGCCCGGTGTTGGGCTGTAAGCACAAACCCCACCTGTGAACGTCGGGCCCTCATACCACCCTCATGGAGTCTGTTTCTGACCGTTTGAGCAGACACATGCACATTTGTGGCCTGCTGGAGGTCATTTTGCAGGGTTCTGGTAGTGCTCCTGCTGTTCCTCCTTGCACAAAGGTGGAGGTAGCGGTCCTGCTGCTGGGTTGTTGCCCTCCTACGGCCTCCTCCACGTCTCCTGATGTACTGGCCTGTCTCCTGGTAGCGCCTCCATGCTCTGGACACTACGCTGACAGACACAGCAAACCTTCTTGCCACAGCTCACATTGATGTGCCATCCTGGATGAGCTGCACTACCTGAGCCACTTGTGTGGGTTGTAGACTCCGTCTCATGCTACCACTAGAGTGAAAGCACCACCAGCATTCAAAAGTGACCAAAACTTCAGCCAGAAAGCATAGGAACTGAGAAGTGGTCTGTGGTCACCACCTGCAGAACCACTCCTTTATTGGGGGTGTCTGTCTTGCTAATTGCCAATAATTTCCACCTGTTGTCTATTCCATTTGCACAACAGCATGTGAAATTTATTGTCAGTGTTGCTTCCTAAGTGGGCAGTTTGATTTCACAGAAGTGTGATTGACTTGGAGTTACATTGTGTTGTTTAAGTGTTCCCTTTATTTTTTTGAGCAGTGTAGTAGGTGCAGCAGAGTGAGCAGGTGAGAGTGATGAGCTGATGAGGTGGGTGTGACTAGCAGGTGCACTGAATGAGCTGATTAGGTGAGTGAGAGATAGAGTGACAGGATAACCAGTTGGTGGCAGTAATGCACCAATTCATTGTTTGCCCACCGCCAATAAACCTCAAACAAGAAGAAGAAGAGTGGAAGGATAGCAGTGGCAGAGCTGTGAGACATAGGGTACTTCTCAAGTCTCTTAATTGCATCCCTGTTTCCCTCACTTGCGTCCTTTCCTTGCGTCTTAGTCCCTCCCACCAGGGATGCATGGAGGAAACCATGCAAGGAGAGAGGAACGAGGAAATATGTTTTAAGATTCCTCAGTTGCTTCACGTGAAGCGACGTCTGTTTCTGATGACGGAGGATCAGCTGATCACAGCGAGGAGCGGGGATGGAGGAGGGACCTCGGAGGAGCCATGAGCGAGGAA